CACTTCACATTTTTTAAATCCTATTTTGAAAATGTTCTGTAACTTTTTACTGCAATTGAATGTGGCAAAACGCAGACACGCTTTTTTAGCGCTTTTTGTCCTGAAACCGAGGAAAAAAATAAATTGGCGAAAAACAAAATCCGCTTTGACTTGTAGCTTCCAAAAGGTGATTAGCATACTCGCATTTAGTGGCCGTGAAAAACTCGGCAGTTCATTTTATTTCAAAATTTTTGATATGGTTTGATAGCCAGCTCTATAAGCTTTAATTTGATATAGGGGTTTAGGTATCTACAGCTTAAACCGAACGCGCTACATCGCTTGGACGTGAGATACCCCTGAAGGTATACGGTAACCTTAAGACTTGAAGTTTGTCAAACTAGTTTGCTTTAGCATTATTTTTGTTGTGTTTGGAAAACTATAAATGAAACTTTTTTGTGAAATGTCAGACCAAAACTAAATTTTACTTTAAAACATCACCTTCTGCTTTTTCAATACCAGCATATTTGAACGATGGGAGTTAAACTTAGCTTTGTCTATTCGTATGGGTTTGCAAGGGGAAGGGAGACTGGGCATGTAGGAATATCTCGAGTCAACATCCATACATCACTGATCCTAGATGGGTCGACTCATCTGTTGCTTCAACGTGCATTTATTGTTATGGGCGCATGCACGTGCGGAAGTATAGTGGGTGCTTACTCATATCTTCTGCTCTCCCCATTTCATCTCTTGTTACCTTTGCGACAGGGTTTCTACTTTCCTTATTATCATCTAGAGGAGAAGAAAGTCATCGTTACCCACATAGTCAGGCTGCCTCAGAATAAAATCCGTTTGGGACAGATGCAATGCAAGTGAACTCAAGAATCTAAGGAGAGTTGTTCCTTGGTATTTTACTATCATAAATTACTCGGTTTCTCAAGCTGGAAAAGATGTATTAAATTCGGCTCGCTAGTCTAGCGTTGATCTGTTTCCAGAGAAAATAATAGTATTCGTGGCAGGCTTTGAAAAGTAACTGAAAAATGATCTCCGCTTTCAATGCTCGTCGCGGATATTACATCATTCCTCTTCTTTGCTTGTTGATGATACCTCTTTCTGTCGTTTAATATAAAGTGAATTTCCTAAATAACATACCGTTGATTCTTGCCTTCTGACGAGAAGGATCAAGTAGATCATCTCCATCAATCTTTGAGTCATCCTGATTTACATCAACTTCTGCTTAACGATAGTACACACAAAAAGCTCATGAGTGTTATAAATGCTTTCCGAAAACTTAAATGTCCTAATGCTTGACAATAAATAACAACCTCTCACTTGCACACAATCTCCTCCAAATTTGTGCCATCGATGTTATGGCGGTGGCCTACTGTTACCAGAGAGGGAACGTTTAAAATAAGTAGCTGCTAACTACAGGAGCTGGACTACAATTTTTAAGACGTTTTAAATACAAGTGACAGATGGGAGATTACCTTTGTTGAATTGTTTCACTAAATGCTGATCTATTGGAGACAGCTGTCCCGAATACAGTAGAGCACTGTTTGTTAATCGCTGTTCGTCTGAAAAAAAGTTAGGAACTACTGGGTAACTAAAGATTAGACTTAGACGTATATTACTCGCATAAGGAACAATTAGTTAACTTGTTTTTCCGGGATGGTCGCCATAATAAACTGTAAAAAAAGTGACATCGGCACATCCTGTTCTAGTTTGGAATGTAAGCCATTGCAGAATAAGTTACGGTGATAGTATAATGATGATTCCTTTAGAAGAGCGGTGGTGTAATAGTAAGCGCACTTGACTCAAAATCCAGCGGTATGGGTTTCAGCCATGGTCGGGGGCAATGCATTGTGTTCTTAGATAAGACACTTAATTCTCACAGTGCTTCTTTGTCCCCAAGTGCATAAATGGGTACCTGCGAATTAAATGCTGAAGGTAATCCTGTAACCGACTAGTGTCACATCCAGCGGGGACTAAAAAACTCTTAAATCTACGTAAACCGGTATAAACTCCAGCAACTATAAGGCACTTTGACCCGATAGAAAATTATGTGCTACAGTGTATAGCAATGATAAATCCTGGAGAACAAAATAATTATGTTACCTTGAATAGCTGGTAGTTTTTGTAGAAAATTAACATCACTTTTTCTTGAGCCACCCGCATCTAACGACACGAATATAATATAAGTTGAATTTTGATTTTGCAGAAAAGCAGTGATATAAAACAATTTAATAATATTTCAAGCCACTGTGAGTTAGCGTCACTAACCTCCATTCCTAACCGTTAAAATTTCCTCAGGTTTTATTCCAATGAGGGCCGATCGCGCAGTTTTCTCGTCTGGAAGAGCGGTTTTCTTTTTGTGATGTTTGTTTCCAGATTTCTTTCCTAGAGACCCTACAGTGGTAGTCTTATTAGATTTTTCTCCTTCAAAGTATAATAAAATATTTGATGTAGAGATGCAACAAAACTCACCCTTAGTCCAGAACAGCAACACCAGTATAAGCAGCTGGGCTCGTTTTATCGTGATCATTCTTTACGCTTCTTAGTTTTTGTTTCCACCAAGAGCATGGTTGCAATTTCCTGTTTAAGCACTTCATTTGAAAATAATTGGATAGCGTAATATGTCAGCATTTCAACTAGAAAATGGAAATTTAATATAAAAGCATATGTTACAGTTACTGAAGCAGGATTACATAGACAAAATAAGAACATCTTGTATCTGGCCAGTGTTCTAGTGCTAAGTGCAAGGAGAAGCCTGGAACATGGGACTCGCGAGAACTGCCCTCCTATCTCTCAGTCACTAGGTTAAAAAGAAATTTGAACCGAGCAGTAGCCGCTTCAACTCGGCCAATTTCCGTCATGAAAGGGACAACTTTAACCATTTTCATCAAATCTTTTGGTTTATCTTACATTCATTTCTTCACAAATAACACTAATAAATGCAATTATGTCATGTCAACTGAGTACAGAGTATCGGCTCTCAGTCTTTTGAGTTTAAGCTACAATATATATATATTTTTTACTTCCATACGATAATTGGGTTTCAAGAAATGTCTGGCTTTATTTTTCCTTTATCATTAGACTTTGTTTATAAGGCCCGACACCAGCGTTTTTGATCTCTACATGGGATTCGTTAACAAGTACTAGATCAGCAATACATGCCACCCTTCAGGTCAGGCCACAAGTAGTTTATTTCGATATTGGATTTCTTGGAAATTCAGCGCAATAGACACAGGAGCAACACGAAAAATTGATCCCAACAGTAAACGTACCTTTTATATTTCAGGCCCATTTCTGGCTGTTGATATAATATGTTTTTCCTTTCTTAGCAGGAATCCATGTTCTTTGACGAAAACAGGATTAAATAAATAATGAAATGCATCTTAATCAGGTGCTCTACTCATGACATAATTACGTGTCAACAACACCACGGTTCGCGGTTTGAATGAAGAGCTGACCTTCAGACTCACTGGTGTTTCTGAGGTTCACTAATAATCTTTTGTTAAACGCTTGAGGCTTCTGGGCTCGAAGGTGTAAAGCTATTCGGACAAATACATTTGTTTATATAGACCACGAGAGACTGAAGAGCAGAACTCCAAGTCTAAATGTGCAGGGAATATTCAAAGTTTAGTGTGGCACCCTGATGCTGCAAGATACACAATTTTTGCAACATTTTCTTACATTATGTTGTTTTACGGCAAGCCGTCAACGGTGAGCTTCACGTTGCCGATAGCAATTTCGAGATCACTGTGCAGGGAGTTTTCATTTGTTTTCGTTGTATTACAGCCTCCATTCGTTCAGTGTGGTGTGGGATGAGTCAGGGATGCGGGATGAGGACAGTTAAAAGGCCATTTCCTGTGGTATTCGAGTGTTCCTTACCAGAAAAAAGTATTGCCATAGTACGGTGTGAAAAGTATAACGCCCCTATCCCTGCATTCAGGGCACACTAATCTGTTGCACTCCTGTATACACATTAGCTCTTCTACGAGTGGTGGTGTCCACTTGATTTGATTTTGATCAAGAAAACAGGCCATTTTAAAGATAACTTACTTTAATGAAAAAAGTTCATTTTATTATCCAATCGCAAATTATACTATGCATTTACACGAACTCGAATAAAATTCGTTAATCCGCCAACAGGTGTCAAGAAGACAACTGGTATGTTTCTGTTTTCTTCTTTATCAACAAAAGAACACGAGAGTTATGGCTTAACTCAATAAAACATTCTGTGAATAAGGTCTGTTAACCAATCGTTGAATTTGGTAGCAGTTGTGTCCTCTTAAATATTGTGGAATAAACGTCCTGTGTCATGGTTCCTTTGTTAATGACATTTTCTCTTAAAAATTTTCGATCATTCCCAGGCGGCCTATACAATGCCACCACATACAAATCATTTGTGGCGACATCCTTTGCACATCCCATGCCTATTTCTTTGCTCCCTTTCCAGATCATCTGAGTGAATGCGTCGGTCTGCGGTGTAACTCGTGGATACGAATAGCTATAATTACGTGATTCGCTGTACCATATATCAGTTGCTACCGTTCCAGCATCGTTGAATGGAACACCAGTTATCTTTGCTACATTTTCTCCATAGCCCATCGAAGTTGCCACTTCAGATCGTTGCACGGTTCCCCTCATGGCCATGTCATATGCCATTTTCTCTGCTTGAGTAGCAAGCTCATCCGACCAACGGAGATTCGAAGAATGATGTTCTTGGCGATAGTGATTATGAGCTTGAAGGCCCTTCTCAGCGAATGTCTCAAGATCTAAGGGAACGGAGAGCAGTGCAACAAAAGGTAAACAAACGACCCTCAAACAAGCAAATAAAAACACCTGAAGGGACAAAGACAAACCAAAGGAAAACCTCCTCATATAATAATAAAACGCCTCACTAAATATATTACAGGAACACTCTATTGACTGAACTTGAACAGCTTCGATAGTATTTAACTGTAAAGTCTACGAGTTTAAACGTGCACAATATATCATCCATTGTGTACTTCGCCGCCTACGTACAAAATTCGTCACTGGAGAAAGTGTTTTACGCGAACTTACGAACATTACCTTCCTTGATGTGCTGTACCGTGCTTGATTCCTGCCTGTCTCTTGGCATTCCGAGCTCTGTGGCAGACTCAAATAATACATTGTCTGATGGACCAAAGGGTTTTGTTGGGGAAACTGATTTTGTAATTGGCTCAGACGGGGACATTACCAGATCTTTTAACGGGTCAAAAAGCACGTTTGCATGAGCAAGCTCAGGGGGTTCTTCTTGTCCAGCTGCTCTGGTAAAGGCGGACAATTCTCCGAAGCGTGGTTTTTCTTGGTTTTTATCATCTTGCAAAAATCGAGTCTTTTTTTCTGGTTGAACGTAATTTACGGGTGTTGGGTCATTTTTTATACCTCTCACACTTCCTGTGTTTGTGGTCTGGGCGCTTTGAAGGCTTGGAAGTTGATTTCCTACCAACGAGTCTAAATCTGTCGGATATCCTATTAACTGTTTTCCCTGAAGACTTTTAATACTTGATTGCACCGCCTGCAATAGCTTCTTAACGGCTTCTGCGAATGCAGCTGTGCTTTGTGAGGTTGGCTGTGGCTTTCTGGCTGGCTTTCTATTCACATGGTAACTGTCGGGTTCTTTTACAGCACTTCCCTTTAATGAGGGTAAAATCCTTACGCTATATCCAACTCTGGTAGTTGGTTGCACTTTCACGTCGCTCGGAAAGCTTCGTGTTTCATTAGTCACTGCACTTCTTGAAGGCCCTGCAATCCCTTTTTCAAGCATTTCTTGAGACACTGGTTGAGCGTCGTTAAGTTTGCCTAAAGTGTCCACAATTCCTGTATGTTCTTTCACCGACTCGGCTTGCCTGTCTGTATCAGTTTCTTTTTCTTCGAGCGGGTCATCAGACAAGTCTTTCGGAGGAACTATTTCGTCTCCTGACTTAGGAATTTTCAAAAGAACCCATGATTTTCGATTCCCTTGGACGTCAACCACCTTTTTAGCGGGCCAAACATTATTGAGCACCCCTGAAGAGGGTATATTCTTCTTAAGTTTGGGATCTTGGTGAATATTTTGCAAATAATTCCTCAATTCTTCCCTAGCCATAGACTTGATAAGATCGCTGACGGCTTTTGCCAGTGCAAAGGAAAACGACTTCTTGCGGTGTTTTTTGGACCTTATAATCGCCTTTACTTTATTAAACTGTTTTCTTTGATCTGCAAGTCTTGTTCTTGAACTTGAAACAGTTGGACTATGGCGAAACAAAGGTGTGTAGGTGGGTTTCGTAACAAGGGGAGCCTTGTGTCCAAACAACAATCTTAATATCGAGACTCCTAACTCTGTTGGGTTAATAAGCTCAGTATGAATGGTTGACTTGCGTTCGCCAGTCTGACTCTGCTGCGATGTCGAGGCGTTTAAGAGGCGTAATATATTACTTCCAAAACCTGATGGCAATCCAGACGGAGAAACAGAGTCAGTTGGATCAGAACTGAAAGTTGTTTGTTTTTCATTTGTTTTGTTGCCATTGTCAAGAAGCACTTTGGCTAAAGACAATGCATTAGAGTCTTTTACAAAATGATTCCTCCTGTCCAGTAACAGACCCACTGCGGTTAGGAGGGTGCGTGAAATAGGAACAGGATGCACATGTAGAGATTTACCAGGTTCGGGCATTGCTATTGATGTTCTTTTGTGGGTTCTTTCTGATAGTGGCACAGCTGGTGCTGCATATCTTGCTTTTGTTTTCGGTTCCTTAGTTTTTCCTGTTGGATAGATCTTTGTGCTTTTGTGCTTCTTGTCTTTTGCCCACGCCGTAGACTTTTTGACTTCTCCAATATCAGAAGACAAAGCCAGCTCTTTAACCAACAGCTCATCTTGCGCTATTTCGTCGTTATTATAAGCATGGAATAGCCCACTCTTTTGCACTGTATCTTTTTTCTTTATTCCAACAGTAGTTTTCCAGTCTTGAAAGTTAACTGGTGTCCGTCTAACAGTAACCTTGTTCTTTTTAGTCCTAAACACATGGTGTTGGGGTTTCGTCTCCTGTCTTCGTCCTAAAAGAGGAAAACAAAAATAGTATATCTGGTCAACTTGGTTGGTGTTAAAATGCACAGCAATTTTTTTTTTCGTTTCTATTAAATTTGGGTTACCTTGTTCTCTTTACCCTATTTCCCTTAAAACCATACATTACTTCTCAAAGTGAATCTTACCTAATATTAAAACGTTACGCGCCAAGGTTGTGATAAGCACCAGGGCCAAAATTTTCCCACTCATTTGTTCATCGGACTTGGAAGGCTGAAAAACAAAAACGTTTGCTCAATCTATTAAAAAATATCAATAAACCAGACGTAACAAAAGAAACCAAAATATACATTCTCAGCTAGAGTTTCGCCAAGACTATGGCAACAATTTTGCTTCACGGTGTGATGGTACATGTACAAAAGTTTTTTTTCTTTACATTTTTTTTTCACAGAACATCTGGGAGTCTATAATAATGGAAACGCTGTCAGTTCGTCCTGGCCTTTGCGGTTTAACCCCTTGTTCCTCCCCAAATGGATACCAACACAATTAAGTAGAAGTTAGGTAATCGACGGAGGAAGTAAACAGCATATTCATTTCTCTGAATCGCTTATATTTGAATGAAATGCAATTTGTTTACTTCAATAAATGGTGTAAAACGAAGCCATAACAGGAAAACCCATTTATCGAAATGTCGTTAGTGAAGTTCAAATATTATTTTATGTTTTTTCTTAGGTGAAAATAACCGTATCAGCCAACCAAACAGATAACCTACCTGTTCCTATTCATAATTATTCATGTTCGCAGTCGTGAATCCCTTCTCGGACTATGTTCAAAATAACAGAATTTAGCTAGTCAAAACCGTCATTTCGTCAAGCCATGTTATTGGTGTTGTTAGTTTTCATCCAAAATTGCTCAAAATCAACCATTTGAAGTGAAGAAGACAAAAATATGTGTTGACTCAACTCTTCCGCTAAACGAAGAATGAAGTATCGTCATTGGCTCATCGACCCAAATGTTAGAGTGAGACTGGTGTCTGTTTTGTTTTGACGATCTCTTCTCGCTGCTAATTGATGAGAGAATCAACCTGTCACTTGACTTGACGCTTCAAAGGCTCTGTCATCCATGAATGAAAATCACAATAAGGTCTCTCATGGTCAAGTGCTTATCAATACAAACCGGGCCACTCTTCTCCTGATGCTTTTATCGAAAGTGTAAGCAAATTATCTCGAGCAGCTTAGCTTAAATGAGGTCAACCTAGTTATGTTCTTTGACGACAAATGAAAAACTAAGAGAAACTGTTGTAACAAAAAGCCAATATCGATCACACGAACTTCAAGCAATCTATTTACAAACAAGAACTGAGAAAACTCTACAATCATCACTTATTTAATAATATTTTTAATTGTATCTAGTTGTCTTTAAGTCCAAGCTCATAATTTAACGGAGTAAGTCAGGTGAAATTAAAGAAACCGATGGCGCATTGTGTGTTCATTATTCTGTTTGCTGTTAGCCAGGTCTTGGGAATGGAGATCCTGCGATCGCTGGCCAACTGTCTCTGACAAAAAGAGAGATAGTGAAGAATCAAGCAGCCACAGAGTGGACATGTTAGAGAAGTGTTGTATAATATTCAGCTCCCCACCCCNAAAAGAGACTTAAATAACGCTCTGCGTAATAAGAAGATCCTGAAGGGAAGTGGGCAGGGGCGTCCTAGGCTATGTTTTGCCCAAATCCTAGTTTTTTTTGTAATTCCCAGTCTCAGCTACCCCAATCCCATATCCCCAGAAAAAAATTGGCATATCTCTGCTCCGATTTTTCCACTTCAGGCACCTCTAATAATCGCCCTCCGTCGGATAACTACCCAAAGTAAATCAGCTCTTGCGGAAATTCAATCATTACGGTATCCGGGGTTCTTATTATTTAATTTATTTCGAAACATCCTAGATTGGCTTACAATACTCAGTTCCAGGCATTGCAATTAGTTTGTTTTTCTGCTTCTGCTTGCGACTATCTAGTTTACACTAGAACATGAGCGACGGAGTCATAAGCGAGATCAGAAGAAAATGGAAACGTTATGATTCTTCCGACTCCGACTCCGATTCCGTTGAGCTTATGACTCCACTTACAACTTCGACTTTCGATTTTCACTAGGTTGTAAGCGCTCTTATGACTTTAAAAGCAGGGCTGTCACTAACGGCCGGGGACCGGGGACTTTCCCCGGCTACTACGAGCTAGAGCCCCGACTACTTTGACAGAAAACTAAATGTATGTATAAAAATATAAAACTGTGTATGTATGTATGCGTGTATGTATGTATGTATTGCATTGGAGAGTGAAAGACTGTGGATCCCGGGCCAGTATACTAACGATACTCTTATGTGCCACGATATTTCTTTTTTCAAATTTTAAACCTCGCTATTTGAACACATCACAACAAGCTTGCATTTACGAAAACAATGTAACATTTCCATGCGGTTTTGGCGGCATCAACAAATGTGGGAAATTACAATTTTTAAATAAATAAACATTTGAAGAGTTTACAATCATAAATTACTATCCTGTCATTCTTGACTCAATGATGCACATGTATGTCATGAAAGCCTACTTGAAATGTATCGAACTTACAAGCATTTGCACCAACAATAGAGAATTTTGACTTAAAACCGTTTGTTTTTAGACGTAGTATTAGCCACTATTTTGGGCTTTAAGTTGCAGGAAAAAAGTCTCTTTCAGGCGTTTTCGGCTTGTAATTTTTTTTCCACTGGTACTTAGCTTACTGCTATTGTCATACTAGTTGCAGGTGGACACTGTTTCCTTCATGGTTTGCGTTTTGTATGCTACACACAATGTGGCTAAAACCGGCTTAAAACTGGCATCAAAGTCCTCAAGAATGCATAAAAATGGAATATGAGCTTGTCTAGATTTTCACATTTTTCCAGGGGGATGCCCCCGGAACCTGTACACGAAATAAAGTTAGCTTTAGCACCCCTCCATAACTAAATTCGTACCTATGGGCTTGATTTTTTTAGAAATAAAATTAAGAAAACCAGCCTTTATGAGTCAAATGAATCAATGAGTCACAGAATTAGTATTTTAAGTATATACATCGAGTTACCAAATGTTACCATTATTGAGAGCTAACCGTAAACAAGCTAACCTGAGCATTATTCAAGCTATAAACCTGAGTACTCAGGCTTACCGGAGTGCTATTCAGGCCAACCAAGCGCAATTGAGGCAAACCGAACTGCTATTCAGGCTAGGAGTGAGATTTGACCAGTGATCTCATGGATTCGTGACCAATGGCTCATAGATTCATGCTACTAATAAACACCGGCGATTTGGGGCGCGAGACGGCGCAAAACCTGACATAGTTTCTGTTTGCTTGCTTGTTTGTTTTGCCTACCACGTGCCCAAACTCTCACGAAACGACGGCTACTACCCAGGTAGAGATTTTGGACCCTTTTGCGTCTGAAAAGTTTTAGCTTTATGCTAGAATAGACCAAGAAGACCAAACAATTGTTGTTGCAGACCGTCCAACCTTTCCAAGTCCGCAAGGAAGCTTCTACAGAGAAACACATGGGGAAAATGACTTAAATGTACGAACAAATCTGCGGAAAAGTTAAAACGAGACTGTACGCTTTCATTTCAAAACTATCTTTAAGGTGTCTCGATACAATTTTTCCCGGACCATACCTAACATTGTCAATCAGCTTTTTAACATCTTCCTTTCATCGGAGGGAAGTGAAATTCACACCACTTTTGGAACTGGATTGAAGTTTGATATAATATATTTTTAGGGCAATCTATATTTCCATGGAAACGATAAACAAAAAAACTCACTTGAATTTTGTGCGAACCAGATTTGATATAAACACGAAGATCAGAGAGCTTAGAACTGGGCCTGAAAGTTGAACTTCCCAAAACGATTTTTCTTCCCATGGAAAGTCCTGTGCAGCATAGGTCAACTTTGGAAAAATAGTGACACAAGTGATGTAAAAGTCTGAGCTTTGGCTAAGTGAACTGGGAAATTTTCTTAGTGACATCGACATCAGTTGTTAATCTGATCGGCATGGCTGCATATATTATGGAGACTCTGCCTGTATACAATACTTCCGCATTTTTGCGTAATTCGATCGATGCCACCTTCGATATTTCGACCTCCTGATTTCTGTAACCAATTTTCGTTTCCTTTGGAGGTTTGAGAAATCGAGATTGCACTGTATTAAGAATACCGCAGAAGATATGATGTAAACGGGAGAGTGACAGTTAAACATTGCAATAGAATGAAAGTAAAGTATGTAACTTCCTTCATTCTGGTTGAATCTGAATTATTTCTGACAAACAAATGAGCTATACAGGGGGAAATTACTAAGTTGAACTGATCAGAGTGACTTACGCAGGTAATGGTCAGCGGAAAACTAAAGACTTTATGTATGGTGTATCTAGGACAAAATGTGTGGTATACATGAAGTATATAATTGAAGGCCAATTATTTTTGCTCGAATCAGGGAGTACCAGTGCTTGAGAAATGGAGAACTGGGCACTGACAAGCGGTTTTAAAGAGTGATAGAGGATATTACCTGAGAACACAACATTTTTGTTTCGATGATATCATAGTTACTAGTATGTAAGCTTTTGTAATCCTGTACCAAGGTCATGCAAATAAACCTTTTAGTTACGCTTACGTGACTCTTTTAATGTCATGTATTGCATTAAATAACAATTTAGCTAATAAAGATTCCAGAGTAGAAGCGCACAGGATTTGCCTTATCTTGCCCTCTCGCGAAGTTACCCATAAAATAAAGGTTCTTATATCTTTCATCACTGACGTCATAAAGTGATGAATTAAACCCTCTGAAGCTCACCATTTAAATGAACGAGAAACATGCACTGCGCATGGAGGATTTTCCTTATCTTGCCGTCTTACGGAGTTACAGTACAACAAAGCTTGTTCGTTCTTGCATAATAATGCGGGTGACATAAAAAAATTAAATTAAGTGGAAGTTAAACCCTCTGAAGTTCAGACATCGTGACAAACAGAAAGCCATAAAGACCATTGAATTGAACGAAAAATACTGTACAACAGAACTCTACTGACAAATAGAACGCCATAAAAATATCCTTTGATCAAGCGAGTTTTCCGCGCTCCGTATTTGCCTTTTGTCATTTACCGGTCGCTTTAGGCTTAGATCATGACTAATATCATTGGAAATTGCGAGTTTCGAGTTTGAGAGGCCTTGTATTCACCGTGAAATTCGTTGTTTTTCCCTCATGGTCGTTCGTTTCACCTAAGTGAAAGTTAAACCCTGTGAATCTCAGGCATCGTGACAAAAAGAAAGCCAAAAACACCCTTGAAAGGAGCTACCGTGACGAGTAGAACTCCTTAAACATAACCTTGGGTCAGGCGACTTTTTTCGCCCGCCGTATTTGCTTTTTGTCCTTTACCGGTCGCTCTAGGCCTAGATACAAATATTCCGATATTTCTTGAGATATTTAGAAGCGTCCTAGATTTTCAGATTATACTAATCTCAGAAGACAATCTGTCTCTCTGTAAAAAGCTCTCTGTGGCCGTCGCCATGATGATACCTTGAGCATATTTGCTAACAGCTATCATCACACATTTCAGTGGATTTTTCCCGTCGCGCTTCTGTTGTGGCATCCTTGTCAGTGCCCACACGAGTACACATACCTGCTCAAAGTAGCCGTTTTACAATTTGTGCAACCTTTTTTGCTTCCAGAAGCATTAAGAGATATTAAGACAGTTTACCCTACAGTTTACGGTTTCGTATAGCAAGGACAAGAACTATTTATAATATTGAGCCCCCTGTTACTAGGGAGATATGCTTCACTCTCAAAAATGGGAACACCCTCATAATACAAGTGCAATTCACAATATTAACAATAGTTTATTATAGGCAGTAGGGAGGATAAGCTGTGTTTGTTTATTTGTTCGCTTGCGTCTTTTTTTCTTAGTTTTGTTACTATTGTTAATTTAGCTATTATTGTAACCTTGCTTTGCATTGTTTCTGTTGGATTTTTTGTATATTAACCAGTAAACACTGGTTTGGGTCTCGGTTATAAACCCATGAGAAAAGAACCTGGCCATTCCATTGGCCAATATCCAGCCATCTTGACCTCACCTTTAAGGTCCATAACCCACATACGTGTATCAAAACAATCCTCCTCCATCAAAATAAAAATAGAATAGTTTTATTGGCCTCTAACTTGTATCGATTTAAGTTATTGTATTTTTTAGAAACACATCATTCGCTGTTTAGCAGTCAGCCGGCAGCAACTAGAAACTTGAGGTACACCGTCAACACTAAAGGTAAACCGGTGACTTTTCAGTTTATTTGACTTTCTTTTTCTCGAGATGTGAGTGCTAAATACAGTTGTTATGAAGTGTAAAAGTTACTTCGAGTATGGTTATAGATAGGGTTTTAACGTACGGATAAACGATTATAGTGAGATACGGAAAGACTACCGTGCGAGCAGGTTCACCTTCGGATAATTTGGTTTTATCAACTGGGTTGATAATGTGAATTGGCCACCGTAAAGAGATTCGAGATACCTTCGGGTATTCGTTACATGTGCCTCATATACTAGGTCTTTCCATAGCCTTCGAGAAGGCTCACTTATTTGGAGTTTTGCGCAAACGCGAACGGAAAAAAAAGCCATAGCAGCGATTGGGCGCGAAACCCAAACACTAGAGCCTACTCGCAGGCTATGGAAAGACCTTTTATATACGGCACATGTAACGAATACCCGAAGGTAGCGGCAGGAAAAGGCTGCTAACTGAGGAACGCTGATTCATAAGTCAAATGTGTCTATGGGTCAAGATTCATGAGTCAATGAGTCAATAAGTCACTGGTCAATTTGGACTGCTGCCGGTTATTAGCCTGAATACATGTAGCACTCCAGTCAGCCTAAATAGCACTTTGGTTAGCCTAGTCCAGTCCCTACACTCTTCCTTTTGTAATTGCCGCCATATTGGTTTGTAGCGCTGGTTTTGTTTAAGAGTTTTCAACATCCGTAAAAAGCTTAGAAACGTTGATTACTGAAATATTCAAAATTTCAGTAGGTCTCATTAGAATGGAAATTTTGATTTCTTGACATCCCGTAACAAAANCCACATCCATACTTGTAATCCTGCACTTCTTCCCAAAATACTTGTTCTGTTTTGCTCTGTAGAATCTTTTGATCCAATTTATTTGTATATTTGGTTACATTTGGCAATATAACGTGGAAATTAGAAAAGAGAACTTTCGATAATCAACCGGGAAACTGTCACTTTGAAATATTAGACGTTCTTTCGCAGTGTCAGCCAACGTTTGCAGGAAGGTTTGAAAACCGCCCTAAAGGAAATCAGTAAACCCTTCTCTTCGTGATTATTGTATTGGGGGATTACGTAAAGTGGAATGATGGATATGGAATATTGGCTTTAACTTTTATTAATTAAAGGTATATTGAACCATGGCTGCAAATAGTGAAAGGATTACCTCAAGTTGCGTTTGAGTTAATTCCGCGCGGTCGTTACTGCACAAAAAAACTGCACAAAAAAAGTGCAAAAAAGGTTAACAACTAAAGTGATAAGTTAATAAAGATGGTGAATTTTAAGCTCGTTAATGAAATGTGAAGGTGAATTAATCAACCCATGACCTCCCAAACACCGGGCGGGCGCTCTATCTACTGAGCTACGAGAACTCATAGAGAGAAAGGCCATTTAACTGAGTTCATATATGACAGGTGTCCTGCATACTGCTAGGATCAACGCTATCGAAGTCATCGTGACTCAGAATTTTTCTTTGTCCCACGCTCGTGTCATGTTGATTAATTTACCTTCTCGTTAACAACTAAAGTTGGAAGTTGCATGACTCTTAATTGTCGGGTGCTTATCTCCTTTTATTAACTTATGAAACCTGCTAACTGAATAAATTCACGTTATTTCCTTGCAGAGAAAAACCAAAACGTACGACATCATGTTCGTGAGATCGGCGTTGTTATTTCTCCTCCTTAACCTGACTGGAGTGATGTTGCACAAGTTGAAGAATGACGAGATCGACGAGATCGAGATTCCTGAAAACCCCAATCCAAACCAAAGTTTGTTTGTTTGTCTTTTGTTAGTTTGTACTTACCCTAATTTACAAAGTGAAAATGTTTGTATCTTACAAACCTGAAAACGGAGAACTGAGCAAGTTTTTTTCCTCGCATAGATTTAAGGGACAGGGTCCCAATTGATATATCGTTTTCGTTAAGTATGGCCAGGAGCTTGCTACAAAATTGCTTTGTTATCTTGCCGTAGAACGAACAACGCCAAAAGTGGTGAAAGCAAAGAAATAACAACTAAAACGCAAAAATAATGACTAAAAGATTCACGTCGTCGGATGAAAGCGTCAAGACTACGCGACAAGATCGAATGGTGGTCTGAGTATTCATTGGAATTTTGCATATCGTTGTGAAGGAAATCTACAAGTTTTTATTTTTTCACGTAAAGTATTAGATTTTCCGCTCTTGAGACCTTTTTCTGTAGCTTTTCCAAAAACTCAGTGTGGCTAAAAGAACCTTGCTTTAACATGTCTGAGAGAAAACGTACGAAATAAAGTTTGATAAGTTGTTATATGCATCATGGGTGACAAATTACTCCTTAATTTTGGCGCGAGATTTTGGTGTTAATTTATCGTTTCACATGAGAACTCACAAAATTGCTATGGCAACGCTTGGCGCGAATTTTCTCGATACAATGAACAAGTCAAATACCCACGATTGTGAGCGTAATTTGTGACCCATGATATTAAAAGGTAACCAAATGCTATACTAGTGAAATTAGGAAATGATTTTACTTGCATTTTAATTTGTCAAAGTTCTAATAATTTTCTCAGCTTTTAGGCGAGGGAAATTATTTCCTAATATCAGTCGTTACCATTTGATTACCATACTTATTATATGGCCAGCTCCGTGAGCGGGCAAGATGAATCAAATCCTACGCTGTGATTGGCTACCCGAGCGGGTAAGATAGAGCTATCTTGCCCGCTCGGGACTACCCGTCCTGTCCCGCAAGAAAAATTTCCCCGAAAGCCATGTAATAAATCCATTATTGACCAAGCTTGTTCGATCAAGATGGCTGGATATTGGCCTCGTTCTTTTTTTGCGTGTTTATGGATAAACACACAAAAAAAGAACGAGGCCAATATCCAGTCATCTTGACCTCACACTTGGTCAATAACCCATACTTATTATTCAGCGCGCACGGCAGCTCTCTACTTTCTACCCGTGTTCACCCCTGGAGTTGTTGTACGCAGTATATATGGGTTATTGACCAAGTGTGAGGTCAAGATGGCTGCATATTGGCCAAGTTCTGTTATTGCGTGTTTATGGACCGAGAGGGAGTCGAGGTCCATAAACTCGCAAAAAAAGAACGAGGCCAATATCAAGCCATCTAGACCGAACTACCTTGGTCAATAAAGGATTTATTGTATGGCTTTCGGGGAAATTTTTCTCGCGGGACACGGCGGGTAATCCCGAGCGGGCAAGATAGCTCCATCTTGCCCGCTCACGGAGCTAACCATATAATAATAGCAAATATTGCATGCAATATTGCAGAAGTAGAATCTTGTTGTGCTTCTGCAACATTGCGGACAACAACATTTTTTAGTGATGAGTGGTGAACGGAAAAATCGTTAAAGATGCGTGACACTTGTAGTTGAATAGCTTATAAGACAATATTATAACAAATTATCAAAAAGTGTCATAAACGTCTTTGAAGAAACAAACGTTTTGGGTGTATAACCCTTCTTCAGTCTTCAGAAAACCGTTGACAGAACCGTTTGCCGTTAACAGAAAACGATTTGTTAATGATATTCACTGTTCAAACTGACTTTTTTTTTCAGTTGGGAGATCTGCTGCGGATATTATAGTGTGTGTGCTAAGAGGCTGTGGCGTTTCAGCGTCAGATCAATGCTGGGTACCCTGCTTATCTGTTGGAAGTGCTATTGTGGATATTTTTGTTTGTGTGCTAAGAGGCTGTGGCATCTCAGCCACAGATAGATGCTGGGTACCTTGTTTGCCCTCATCAGGATAGTAATTGTAATTGTCAAATATCCAAACGCTGGCAAATGGATCTTATTACCAATGGTCATTTCACTTAAGACTGTAAGACGTATGGAAATCCTGCACCGTTTTGCTGATTTGTTTTTTCGTTGTTGTTGTTTTTTGTTTTTTCATTATTTTTAAACGAAGTTGCTGCTTATTTATGTTCAAGACCTTCTGTAATTAGGAGCCTAATCATAAAGTTAAGGACCCTCTAGGGTGTTCAAGAAATAAACAGAGCTGACGTAGTATTAACACAGAGTTGTTGTCGTTGATAGTTGTGGTAGCTTAGATTTGTCGTTGAATCTTATTCTTCAATTATGTTCTTTCAAACAACTCGAGGTTTGCTTTTCTAGAAGAAATGAATGTTAGATGGATTACTTGCGAGGAAAATAATCTTTCGGTTCTTCACTTTTTAAAATCTTACATGAAAATGTATTCATTGGGTTGTTCGCTATCTTTCAGAGTGTCTACATTTTGACTTAGAGCCTGTGTTTTCAATGAGCTACGATTACTTCTATGGCCCCAGTTTCAAAGTTGAATGTCCAAGCGGCCTAGAAAGGAAATCATCTAATTCGTCCAAGAGATGTAGTGTTGGAACTTTCCCGCCGTTTCCCTTGAAATCCAACTTGAAATCAGGGTCGGCCAGTCCTGGGGGGTGGGGTGGGAGTAGTGGTGTACCCATATACCTAAAATAGCGACTCGATATAACCAAAATTTAATCACTACAGGAGAAAGTATATGTTCTAGATCAAGGATAAAAGGAAGGGATTTTGAAGTTATATATTTTGAACGATACCAAATACTTATATTCCAGCATACAAATACCGTATATCTAATTTAAAACCTTCTGTATACCGTATACCCCAGAATCCTGAGAAAATTGGAATACTTTGCAAAGCGGTCCCCGAAAACGTAAAAGTTTTGGTAAGGACCTGGCTAGGCTTAAAAATACATTACTACTGCCCGTCGGTGACATCCTATCGCAGCTTGCCTGTTGGCACCCATGTATAGAACATTTAGTTTAAACTTGTGTAGCAATGATTAAAGAGAACATTCGATTTAAACCTAGAATCAAGGAAATTCAGAGCCACCTTTTAAGTAATATATCGAACACGAAAAACCGTGTTTGACCACATTTCCAAACACCGAGAAGAGAGTTGAAAATACGCCGCGCAGCGGAGTATTTTTTACGGATTTCGAGGTGTTTGGAAATGTGGTCAAACACAGTCTTGGGTGTTTCATATATCTTCTCAATCAGGGAGAAAATGAAGAAATAAAATCGTTAAAATCCATGATAATTAAGATCAGATATCCAAACACCGCTACGGTCATGATTTCCTTTGTTCAAACTTGATGAATTATTAATGAGTTTGAGAAAGTTTATGAACAAAATAAGGAGTAAATCTTATATCGTTGAAGCTGACCTTCTGGTTATAAGTTAAAACTCATTCGGCGGTGCAGTTGTCAGTTTCGTAAACGATAGATGCCATTTTCACATGCCGAGTTCACAGGCGAGTTCACACGCCTGCAGTCGCCGTTTTCGTGCAGTTTTTTTCGCTTCCAAGAGAGTTTTTCTTTTATTGGTAGCCGGCAAAACGGACAGAACATGGCATTATTTTTGTACCGGTTGGCATCATTGGACCATTTCGTCAGGAAATTTCGAGTTTATGAATTCGAAGGCTGAGTATCGTCTTCACCGTGAAATTCGCTGTCATTTTTTCGTTAAGTTCTTGGTCGTTCGCTCCATTGCTAACACCTGCAAAATAACTGGAGATTTACGTCTTCAAAATTTTTTCAAATAAATATCAGAAACAGCTATTGACAGATCTAAGTCACTGTTAATTACACACACACAGACACATACTTTATTAAAGCTCCCCAATTTTGTTTTTCAGCATCAATGGAAATACAAAAGTAATTTAGGATATATACAGTGTAATCCCTTTAATACGACCGGTTATGGGCCATAAAAACGTGATCGTATAACCGGTGGTCGTATTTAACAGGGTCGGTTCAAACATGATGTTACGATTAAACATTACTAATTCTGGCCCACAATTATTCCTATTTGGAATACAGTGAACACAACTAGAGCATTTTATTGTAAACTGAGGACAGTTTTTTGTTCTGTTTTTATTTGTTTTCTTTCATTTATCTCGTCAGTCACTTAGGGTGGTCGTAATAACGGGGTAAATTTATAAAGAAAATAAAGGTTGATGGACTCCAAGGGGAAGTCGTTGGTCGCCTTAGGGGGCGTTGACATATTCACTAGCTTGCTCCCCCTTAACGCCCATTAGTAGGGAGTTTTAGCAATGACGACGGCGACGGCGGGGACGACGCCTTGTAAAAAATGAATTCACGTCGCAACTGTGTAGATCTTTTCAGTGCGCTTATCGGTCTAAAAACCTGCTTAGGCTAAACATGCACCGACAGCTTTCAATTCCAAAGAAGATACGAAAAATTAACCATTGCGGTTCGCGTTCTCTAAAACATGATACGTAGAATTTAGCATGTCACGTTGTTGTTTTGTGGAGAACGGCAAAGAAATGTACCAAGATTCAAAACACACGTGCACAGCTATTGTTCTGCTCATTAAACCATATTGGTGACAATTTCGTCGCCGTAGCCGTCGCCGTTGTGGTTTCCTAAAACTCACTAATGTTAGCGAAGGGAGGGAGATAAGGCGAGTCCATTTTTGGACGTTAGTGCAGGCATTTTTTACCAAAAGCAAAATTATCCATTTTGCTCAAGTTACTTCATGTTGAGAACACAAACAAGAAGTTTTCACCTGCACAGTTGAAAACGACTTACGAGTAAAGAAAGTGTAAAGCATACGTGAAGTTGGAAGTGCAATGTCGCTCGCCAGGAGGTAAAAACATTTGAAAACATGGCAGAGTTGTACCAACGATTCTGGTTCTCTCTTCTGAATACTGTAGTCAGGAATAACAAAAACGTCAATAGCAAAAAGAAGACACGCAGTTGATTCAACAGAACAGCAGAAGAAAGCCTCATTTGATATCAATATAAAAAGTTTTCTCTACCTTTAAAAGCAATGAATTATGGTGATATCTTCACTTGTCAGTAATGCAGTGACTCATGGGCAGCAAAATTCCAAATGGACTTTAAGAAGGAGGGAGAAGTGAGGGATCGGACCTGAACCTCCAATTGACTTTAACCGGGGAACAAGCGTCAAGAAATTGATCAAGCTTTTTTTCGGGCCAAAAGGGAGTTGTCGTGAAGTCAAGATGGCTTGATGTTGACCAATGATGANTCTCTCTTCTGAATACTGTAGTCAGGAATAACAAAAACGTCAATAGCAAAAAGAAGACACGCAGTTGATTAAACAGAACAGCAGAAGAAAGCCTCATTTGATATCAATATAAAAAGTTTCCTCTATCTTTAAAAGCAATGAATTATGATGATATCTTCACTTGTCAGTAATGTAGACTGTAACGACTGGAATGCAGTGACTCATGGGCAGCAAAATTCCAAATGGACGTTAAGAAGGAGGGAGAAGTGAGGGATCCGACCTGAACCTCCAATTGACTTTAACCGGGGAACAAGCGTCAAGAAATTGATCAAGCTTTTTTTCGGGCCCAAAGGGAGTTGTCGTGGGGTCAAGATGGCTTGATGTTGACCAATGATGAATATACAACAAAGCGCGCGGCTTGGTAGTCTGTGCAAGAATATTTCGAAATGTGATCAAAACCAATCTATTGAACGAGTGTTGAAACACCTGAGCAGCCTGGGACACACTTAAAACTGTTCACGGCTTAGCACATACATTTCTGTCTCAAAACTTTGAGCTAAAATTTAAACTGCTAACGACAGATAATTCACGTGTGAGAAGTTCGTCATTTGCATGTGAGAGCACTTGCGCGCTTCTCTTTCTGAATTTAAGTCAATCAAAGCCCACATTACAAGTCAAGTCCAACGTGATTAGCTCCTGGTTCGCTGAAAAATTGTCTATAAATAGTTTACTCTTGAATCTGATAGCACAAGACCCAATACCAGAGATGTACACTTCTAGCATTATAAACTTCTCTAATAATATACAAAAATTACAAAAGAAACAATGCAAAAAAGAAATTACACATAATAATTATAGTGATAATAAAAAAACCCTCATGAATAGAAGGTGTAAATAAACAAACAAATTCAGCTTATCCTCCCTACTACCCAATAAAATTAATTATTGTTAATATTGTTAATTGCAAAGATTAAGTAGTTTGTCCCAGTTGCTGAAATTACCTTAAGAGCTTGCATACCCTTTCCTAGCAATATTGAGCTTAATACTATAAGTAGTTTAAAGTCCTGACCATGAAGGGTAAACTGTTTTAACATTTCTTAGAGTAAATAAAAAATTCCCTAATAATAAGATGGGATTAATTATAGTAATGAAGATCAAGTTCAAGAATGGATCAAGTTCACCTATTGACAGGACAAAGCATGTTTTCAGATTTCGAAAGATTTATATTCTGCAGAAAAAGAGTAAATGCTCGAAGGCTTCTGCCTCTTCTTGATAGAAAGTGCAGCTTGGAAAATCAGTTATCCCCAGAAGACAGATTTTCTTGATTGTAACAGTATAGACTTTAAAATTTAGGATTTTGTATTGGGAGATTCCCTGATCTTACAATCTAGAGTAGTACTGCGCAAGACTTAACTTTTCTTGCCCTCTTGCGGAGTTACCCAAATGAGGAAACTTCTTAGTTCCTTCATCACGTACGCCATAAAAATTAGTCAATTGAAAGTTAAACCCACGAGACTCAGGCATCGTGTTAAACAGGAAGACATAAAGACCATTCAACTGAACGAAAAACATTCTAGAACAGAACTGTCGTGACAAATAGAACGCTCTGAAAACACCCGCTGATCAGGCGAGTTAACCATAAAATAAACCTTGTTAGTTCTTTTATCGCGGACGCCATAAAAATTAATCAAGTGAAAGTTAAACCCTCTGAGACTTAGGCATAGTGTTCAACAGGAAGACATAAAGACCATAGAATTGAACGAAAAACATTTAACGGAAAGAGCTATCGTGACAAATAGAACGCCCTAATAATCATTAGTCAGGCGAGTATTTCCGAGATTTTTATTTGCTTTTTCTCATTTAGGGGTCGCTCTAGTTCTAGACTAAATATCCGGATACTTTTAACACAAAATTTAAGCTGAAGCTGAGACAGTCTGTCCCTATAAATGTGGCCTTTGCAAAGAGACAAATAGGCAATATTATAAAGG